TCCAATTAAATGCTTTCTTTTATGAGTTGCTGTGGTCACCATCTCTTCACATCACCTTGACCATGGTGGCTTAGTTATCCATATTTCTTGTTGCCACCCAAATGTCATGTCTATGCACAGAAGATGGACTTGGAGGGTCACTAGATCTCTTTATTCCTCTTCCCAAGGTGGCCACATTGAATAAAGCTCCCTTCTCTACTTTTTATTTTAAGTTTATCTGTTTAATTCTCACTAACTAGATAGTCTATCAAGGCTACTAACCTCTGTAGGAAATGCTGGGCAGTCTACATGCCATCTTTCCAGTGGTCACCAAGTTCACCAATGGCCAAATCACAGGCAGACACAGAAGCAGAGGCAGGAAAGACAAACCTGCTTTGGAAACAACCTGATATGGACCTGAGGCCAAGTGCCCACTAAAGGAGCTTCACAACCTCTCTTCCTTTAGCCCTGATGGAAAGTGTTGAAAGATCAGGGCAGTGAGTGCACAGGGACTGGATATGGGACAGAGCCCAAAGTCATGCTCTGAAACAGTGACCCCAAGTCACAGAAGAGGCACAGGTAGGATGAGGCTTCAGATGCACTATAAGGGACAGACAGTAGGACTCAGGCATGGAGCTAGAGAGATGGCTCAGCAGTTAAGAGCACTGGCTGTTCTCATAAAGGACCTGGGTTCAATTTCCAGAACCCATATGGCAGCTCATAATTGTCTGTAGCTCCAGGTCCAGGGATCCAATGTGCTCTTTGGACTCTATGGGCACTGCACACACATGGTGCACAGACACACATGTAGGCAAAACAATCGTGTGTATAAAATAAAATAAATCTTAAGAAAAAAGAAAAGTGGTTTACAAAGTGAGTTCCAGGACAGGCAGACCTGTTACACAGAGAAACCTTGTCCCCCAAAAACCATAAAAGCAAGAGAGAGAGAAGAAAGGAAGGATAAAGAAAGAGAGAAAAAAGAAAGGAAGAAGGAAAAATAAGTCAGACATAACTTTTTGTAAGAGAAAAATGGCTCAGAGTAAGACCTGGTGGCTGCTTTCCTAGAATTTATTTTGCCAGTCAGAATGACTGATTGGTTTTCCTTTTATTTATTTGTTTTCATTTCTGCAGTGCTGAAAACCTTGAATAGGACCTATGCATGCTAGGCAAGCACTCTTCCATTGAGCTCCCCCCCTCCCCAGTCTGGAGGCTTTCTGAGTGGGCCTCTCCAGAAGCAGAGGGATGTTCTACAAGATGCCCAGGACTTGCCTCCAGTACAATTTTACAGACTGATGCTGAGTGTCACACATCCTCCAGCTGCACACACTTCCCTCTGGAAGTTCCCTTCCATTCACCCAAATGGTTTGTTTCAAAATGTAAATACACACATAGCAACTGGCAAAGGAAATTAGTCAAATGTGAAAGACACAGAGGGAAAAAAGCATGATACACTCTGTTCTAGGTTCTCAGGCTAAATCTGGCGGGAGGTGTGAAGGGCTGGCAGCCTGGTGCGAAGAGTAACAGTGGCGGCACCATGGCTCCTTCCTGCCCGGAGATGAGATGTCAGGCCAGCAACTGGAATATTCCTAGGTACCAGAGGGGGAGTAGGTGGCCCTCATGACGGGAGCCAGGCGTCAAGGCTTATATCCCCCAATGTCCTCATGCAGGCTCTTTCCCTCACAAGCCCACATGTTCAGTCCCATGGGGTAATTGCACTTGGCAGCCTCCCCACATTAAACTTGTCTGTAACTAAAGATGTTGGCTTTTGTCAACCCCCCCCCACACACACACACTTTTTCCTTTCTCCTTAAGTTCAGAACCTCAGTTGGGGATGTGGTTCCCCTCAGCTACTGGGATCTATTAATATCTTCCTAGTCTCCTATCACCATATCTCTCCTTTCCAACCTCATTGTCACCTTCAAGGTGACATGTGCTAAAGGTTTGATCTCTAGCTTGGAACTACTGGGTCTAGTAAGAAGCCTTGAGGTGGCTGGGGATGTCTAGAAGGGAGTTGTGGGACTCCAGTCTATTCCCTCTCTAGGCCCTATGATCAAGAGGCCAGTGGCTTTCACTCCACCTCATACTTCTGCTTTGGCCTGCTGCCTTAGGGAAGAATATCCAAAACTACCCTGGAAGTGTCTTACTCCATTAATCCCAGCGCTCAGGAGGCAGAGGCAGGCAGATCTCTGAGTTCAAGGCCAGCCTGGTCTGCAGATCAAGTTCTAGGACAGCCAGGGCTAAACAGAGAAACCATGTCTCCTGTCTAAATAAATAAATAAATAACACCCCCTGCCAACCCCCAAGAATATCCAAAACCAGCCAAATAAATCTCTTCTCTTTGTATACTGACAATGAAAAACTGGCTAACAGGCGTGCTTGTTTGGATTCCCTTCACCAGCTCCTAGGCAGTTCCCTCATCCCTGTACCCCATATCACCTCTCCCACCTGGATCCTACAACAACCTTGCTTTAAAGAAGGGGAGGGAGCTGGATATGGCTGCTCTTCTACGGGACCCAGGTTCAGGTTCCATCTCCCCCATAGTAGCTCACAAGCATCAGTAACTCCAGTTCCAGTGGGTCCAATGCTCTCTTCTGGCCCCAGAAGGTACTGCACATACAATCAAAATGCCCACACACACACTAAGAAGCCAACAGAAGGATTTGAAAACCACCTACAACAAAGGTCTGGATCAAGATGCCTTTTTGTACCCACCTCTCCACTCACTAACTCAGGCTAGCCTAAAGTAGCTCTATAGCCAAGGATGATCCTGACTGTCCTGCCTCTACCTCCCAAATGAAGGCATCACAAGTGTGTGCCACCATGCCTGGCTTAACCAAGCAGATCTCTTCAAGTCGTACAAACTTAACGGCACAGTTACTCTTGGCTGTGAGTGAAGTGTTCAGTATCCACCCACTCTGGAACACCTTCCTATCTTTTCTCCTGTACTATGGTACAAGAACAGAAAGGAAATACCCAATAGTACCCAACTACCAAGCAAAAAAGAACTATTTTCCTGATGAAGGTCAAATGTCCACCTCCAGTTTCTAACTGCATTCCCTCAGGTCAGACACTACAAATAATCACATACTGTTTTTCATTTGTAAACGATCCAGCATTGGTCCATCTTCACTGCAGAATAAGACAGAAGATCGGCTTTCAAAAGAACCTATTTTGTGAACATACCTTCCTCCCCACGGATGAAAGAGATTTTATGTTGGGGGGGGCAACATTTTTCATAATAGGAATAGAAACGGAGCTCGATGGGTTTTTAAGCCCCTCCTCCACTTCCCCAGCCTCTTACTGCAACACACTTGCATAAAAAAAAAAGAAACTTTAATGTTTAATATTGTTCAATTCCTAAGTGGTGTAAGCCCAGGCATGGTGGAAGGAGAATTTGGAGGAAAGGATTCTCTCTAGGGAGCCTACTGTTGCCTCTGGATACCCAGAGCAGCGTGGCTCCGCCTTAGGTAATACTAAGCCACGCCTCCACAGGACGTCACCATCTTAGGAGCACCGAGCTAGGGAAGCCCACACAAGCAAGCAGGGAGACTAGGACTGGTTTCAGGCAGGGCTGGGAGGAAAGGAGGGATTTAACTGCTCACATACCTTTTCAAAGAGGACTTTCCAGTGCTGGTAGAGAGGGAGACCATGCAGGAGAGGAAGAAGAGAAAGAAAGGCACTTATCACCAAGGTTTCTGCAGACCCCTGAGGTTTCCAACATCACCTCCCAGCTGCTGCCCAGGAGTCAGAACCAGGCTCAGGGGCCCACCAGAATAACTCCGAAAATCCCCCAGCCGAGCAAAGGCAGAAACGCACAGTACGGGGTGGCAATGGGGTGTTTCTGGGGTGGGACAGTCAGATGCAGGGATGAGAACAAGTATGATTCCCAACCATGTCTTGGGGTTTCTGATAACCTCTGCTACCAAAAGGTCAGGTCCACATCCACACCCGGAGTCCAACTGTACTCAGACCCTGTCCATTGGAGGACTGTACTCAGGAGACTCACCCCTGCTTGAGCACTAGTTTTGCCTGCTTGATTTTGTGTGTGTGGGGCTCCCCAAGATGCTTCCAAGACTGAGTCTAAGTACTGAGCACATAAGACTCTCTCAGGAGTTAGGGCCAGTAGAAAGTGACAGGCTTGACCACGCACGCGGGAGAGATGTTAGGCTCCAGGTCCATTTAGAATTGCTGGCTGTGTTTTCCGTAGGTTGGTGTTCCCGTCTTAATTTCACCCGAGGGGAGGGTGCCCAGAGGGAGTAGTTTTAACAACTCAAGTGCTCGGGGCCTCCCAGTGTCAGACCCCTACCTTGTATCCCAGAACAACCGGACAAGAGATCTGAGCGGCAGATGGCAGGGAAACCCTCTGGGATAGCCCCTCTCTAGCTTGCCACAGGCGACCATTCCTGGCACCGACGTGGTCTAGGACTCCTGAGCCCCCTGTTGGGAGCGTTTCGCCCCAGCTCCCTGGCTCTCCTAGCTCTGGCAGGGTTCAGGGACTAAGGCCAGTTTGAATTTCAATCAGTGTCGCGACAAGGCAGATGCCGGGCGGGAGCTAATCTGGGAGCAGCGAAGGGGGGCGGAGGGGGGGGGCTCCAGATTGATCAGCTCTGTCTAGAGCCTGGGGCGTCAGTTCCTTCCCCAGGCTAGCAGAGTCCGCAGGTCGCCGAGGGGAGAGGAGGGGGAGTCACTACAATGACGCGGCCGCCTCTGCAGGAAAACGCCGTGTCCCGGGCACTGCACCAGCGGCGGGGAGGGGGTTCCGCTGCCGACAGGTTCCCGGCGCAGCGGCTGGGGCTGTGTCCCGCAGGAAAGCCGTGGGAACCCGAGCGGGGTTGGGTGCGCGCCGGTTCATTTGGGGAGACCCATACCTCCCACGCACGAGGCTCTTAGCTCAACCCGGACGCTCCAGTGACATAACCTTGAAGCCTCCAAGTTGCCCCCAGGGTAGGGATCTGAGGCCACAGCGGCTCCCCGCGTACCTCCCCCCAGAAAGTTTGAGGGGCACAGGAGGGGGCACTCACGTCGTCTGGAGCGGCGGGCAGCCGCTCCTCGGCCTCGGGCTCCAGCTCCTCGATGCGCTCCGCCTCGGCACAAGCGGCCACTGCGGGGCCGGGGCTGGGGTGCTCGCCCATGGCCCAGGCTGCGGCGCTCGTCCCGGGGCGCCGGGCTAACTTTGCGCCGCCGCGGCCGCGGCGCTCCAAGAGCTCGCTGCGCGCCTCGCCACCTCCGCGCTCATCCCCATGGCCCTGCTCTCCGCGCTGCCCTCACCGCGGCCCCCACGACCCCGGGGCGCCGAGCCCCGAGCCGCCAAACTTCTCCGCCTCCGCCGCGGGCCGGAGGCGAAGGCGCCCTTGGGCCGGCCGGGCCCTACAGCTCCCTGCGCTCCTTCCCGCTCCGTGCAGCCCCCGCTCTGCGCGCGAGCCTCCTCCTCCTCCCCACGGACTCCTCCGGGGCGGCGCGCAGCGGGGGCGGGGCTGCTCGCGGGGCCCCCGCCCCCCAGGCCGCCCGCGGGGAGGGAGCGAGGGGATGAGGGAGGGCAGGCTGCAGCGAGGCGGGCAGCGAGCCGCTGCTCCTCACTCCCAGTGATAGGGACTGCATTACCCTCAGCCTTCTCAGCTGGGCACCTGGTAGAACATCACTTGGAGGCAGCAGATTGTGTGATGGAATCAGAAGCGAGGTTCCCGCGAGTGGGCCACGTTAAGGGTTAACCTGGACTGAACTGAGAGTGAGATGTGAGGAGTGGATCCCACCTGCCACCCTCAGGTCCTTTATTCACTATTAAACCAAGGAAAGCGCCCCGTCAGAGAGAAGGACGGGAGAGGGAGGAAAAACTTAAAAAGCAGGAATGAAGTTTGCTATAACAGATCTTTAAAGAGCAGTGGAAGGCAGTTTACCTGGGGGGGGGGGGAGAGGCGACCTTTAGGAATGACTATAATTTGTGCCAGTGCCCAGGCTGGGGTAGATGCTCCCCAAGGAAGGCTCAGGTACCCATTCTTGGTGCAGTCCTCCAGGCAGCCTACATATAGAACCAAGGCTATGTATGCCCTTTAGCCTCTTCCCATCAGTTCACCCTTCTCAACGTCCTGTCAAAGGGAAGCATCTGTTTTATTAGCAGAAGTTGCAATTAACGCCTTCATTTTCATAAGGCAAATGTAACTGCATCACACAGCCCCAGGATCCAACCTGTGACCATCTCGCCCAGCATTGACTACTCCCCTTAAACACAGAAGAAAATTAGTCCCATCCTAATTAGGTGAGTTTGCAGCAGACACCAATTTTCATCTCGGTTTCAGAAAGTGTGATCATTTCGACTATTTTTGTTTCTTACCACCCTCCCCCATCCCTACTCTACTAACAAGTCAAGATCCTGCCAAGATTTCCTTGTAAATAAAACTGTCTGCATGGGGGTGAGATTTTGAAAACAGCCTTCAGGGGACAGAAAAGAGGTTGGAATCTTTGTGAAAAGAAGCCTACAAGAAAGAATAAGCAGCTGCTGGTGGCCCAGAGGCCATGGTCCCTGCCTGTCCTAACCCTGCTACTATAGACTTGACATAACATGCATGGTGCTGGCTCTGTTGACACTCAGACTTCGGCAGTAGAGATAGCTCAGAAACCTTGGTAACGGGATTGGAAAGACAGAGACAGGTACATGGAAGAAATGGCCACTTTGCAGAGATGTCCAGCAGCCCAGCACTCACTGACTCCCAGCTGCCCTTCACTGTGCTTTCTCTTCTCCAGCCTGGGGGACAGCTCATAGCATCACAGTCAACCCAGTCATCTCTTCCTGGGGAAGGCACCTTTGCAGGCTCCATGAAATCACTGAATGGTTATTGAGTTCTTACTCAATACTAGGGGAGATCTTTGAAAGCACAGAGATAAAACACAAACTCTGTCCTCCATAATGGTTGGATTGGGCAAGCATGTGGAGGTGGGGGTGGAGGAGGTGGATTCCATAGAAGCTCAGGGTCATACAGGGTAAAAGGAAGGGGGGGGGTCTTCGAGGAACCAAGAGGTTTTCCCAAAGAAAGTGCTTCCATAACTAGGTCACGTGGAAGGTGACACAGCAGTCCAGGCAGAGGGGAGGGCATGCAGCATGGGAAGGGAACTGCAAGGGATCTGGCATGGCTGGAAATTAAAGTAAGGCATCAGTAGACATGGCCAGCCTGGAGTGACAGGGCCGCGAGGGCTGCTGGTTTCCTGAAAATGGAGCTTGGATTCCATCCCAAGGGCAGCATGGAAGAACAGTGAGCAGCAGGACAGTAACACTTGAAAAAAAAATAAAAAAATCCCTTCTAGTTGGATGCAATGGCAGGAGAATTATTTGAGCCCAGAGGATGTTGTATATTATTTTGAGACTGGTTCTTATTAAGTTGCTAAAGTTGGCCTTGAACTTGTGAATCTTTCTGCCTCAGCCTCCCAAGAGGCTGGGATTATAATCTGCACATCAGGCCTGGTTATAAAACTTCATCTCTTTTCTAAACAAATAGAGGCTAGAGAGAGATGGCTCAGCAGCTAAGAGCACTGGCTACTCTTCCAGGGGACTTGGGTTTGATTCCCAGCACCCACATAGTGGCTCACAACTGTAACTCTAGTCCCAGATGATCTGACACACTCCGCTCACCTCCATGGGCTCTGCACACAGACATACATGCAGATAAAACACCCACACACATACAATAATAAATAAATTCTTCTAACTGTTCAAAGGGAATTCGGTTTGAGGACAGGAACTGTCCTGGAGGTACTGTCCATAAAAGAGGTCACATGAATATCAGCAGTTAAGACAAAGGGGAGAAGGACCTGAGAAGATATATCATCTGCTGCCCCTAGGAACAGGTGCTCAACCTTGCCAGTGTCCCCCAAAGCCCTTAAGAAAGAACCCTGGGGTCTCCCCAGGAATCACCCCAGCAGGAGTCCTCTGCTAGAAGGAGAATGGCTACTTGGATTTGGAAACCATTAAGACCATCTGTGACATCCAATGTCTGTAAATCTGAGTTCACTCTTTTGTCCTCAAGAATGCCCAGCTTCCCTAAACAACCTGATCCATCTCTTAACTCCAGGGGAATTTATAGCTAGGTACCATGTGCCCCCCCACCCAGCAGGCAATGGGACTTGGAGTCTACAGCCATGCCTAGAAACTTGACAATTTGGTAGCTTTAGTTCCATTCTGACATAAGGCCAACAGAATACCAGAACATTCTGATAAAGACAGAGAAGGGAAAGGCCACTTTGATTCAACAGCATGCCATAGGTGGTAGGGTATACTGTACATGAGTCTGCCTTGAGTCCGTGCATAGAATCTAGTGACAAATGATATTGGACTGTGTGTGTGTGTGTGTGTGTGTGGTACTGTGGTCAAACAGTAGGCAAATCACCTACTGTTAAGCAGTATCCATAGCTCCATGACCTCTTTTGAAGTTCCCAACAAAACAGACTAAAGCAACTGAGAACAGATAAAATCCTGAGTATGTTAGCCAACTTTCTGCCAGTGTAACAAAGTATTTGACACAAGCACCTTATAAAGAAAAAAGCTTCAACTGGGTGTGGTGGTATATGCACCTTTAATCCCAGCACTTAGGAGGCAGAGGCAAGGAGATCTCTATGGGTTCCAGGACAGCCTGGTCTACATAGTGAATTCCAGGCAAGCCAAGGCTATATACATGGTAAGACTCTGTCTTCAAAAACAGGGAGGTAAGGGAAGATGTATTCTGGCTCACACTTTTGGGCTTGTTGCTTTGGGGCTATGGAAAGGCAGCATATTGCCAGGTATGTAGAGTAAAATTGCACTGGGCTGGAAACAACAAGAAAAGAAGGAGAGATTAGAGACCCACAACCAAAGAACGAGTCCCAAGAACACAACAAACTAAAAGTTTCCAAGAGCTCCAAGCTAGGATCAAGCCTTTAATCCATGAACCTTTGGAGACTTTTTATTATCCTAATAGTGGCACTGGGGAAGAGCGGTTCAAGCTTGTGGCAGGAGAGTACCACTGAGATGAGCTGTGAGAATGGGACAGCTTTGGGATAGAGTATGTAAGGGTTCCTGCATGGAGGGAATGGCTGTGGTAAAGACAGGCCAGACCACAGCAGACCTTGAGGGGGAACAGCTAAGTGGATGGACATAAATAAGGCTGGGAAAGCCAGTGAGGAGGACTGTATTGAGAAAGTCCTTCATGTGGTCTGAGGAGGCTGGCCCTTGCTCAGCAGGCGACCAGGAAGCAGTCAGAGTCTAACCCAAGCAGCATTTTAGGCGGATTAAGCTGGCAGTTGCTCAATAGCACCAACTAACATGTTTGAGTGTTCATTATTTGCCAAACTCTGGCCATGATGTTGAGACTACAAACTGTTAGAAAAGAGCCAAGCCTGCCCTCCTGGAAGAAAATCAGACAACCCTCTAGTGACAGCCCAGTAGCATAACATGGCAGGGAGAATGTCAGGGGGCTGTCTCTCAAACATACCCTCTAAGGGAGGAAGACTCTGCCTTCAGAACTAGAACAGTCTGGCTGTCATTGAAATGCCAGAAGGCAGCCAGGCATTGGTGGCGTATGCCTTTACTCCTAGCACTGGGGAGGCAGAGGCAGGAGGATCTCTGTGAGTTTGGGGCCAGCCTGATCTACAGAAAAAGTTCCAGGACAGGCTCCAAAGCCACAGAGAAACCCTGTCTTGAAAACCCCATTCCCCAAGAAAAAGAAAGAAAGAAAAAGAAAAAGAAAAGCCAGAAGGCACTCAGAGAATGGCTCATTGGCATAGTACCGGCCTAGCATGCATAAGACCCTGGGCTCAAACCCCTGTACTGAAGAGGCAGGAGAAGCCAGGAGGAAGAGGCATGGAAGCAAGTTGTTTGTTTGTGGATACCTAAAGCTAATGAAAAGCCAGGGCAGGAACATTAAGGGCTATAATTAACACTCAAAGCAAACGGCAGGCAGCACCCAGGAGGATGAAAAGGGCAGCTTTTATCATAACCTCTTACATGTGGGTTTCCTATCATCTTCAGCCAGGGCCATACCCCTTCAAGGCTCCTCTCCACAGCAAATCTAAGCTGACCCTCTCAGCGCACCTGTAGCTCCAGTCTTCTGAGGAGCCGGCAAGCCAGGCCTGGGCTGCTGCTTCTGCCTGCCTGAAATGAAGACATGAGTTATTTTTGACTGAGATCCAA